AATACTTTGATCCCAACATACCACCATACATGAGACCCACCCATCATACAATTGGAAAAACAAGCATCAAATTAGAAGCATCACTGTGTTATTAGAAATCGACAATTGCGCATACTAACTGTCACGAACAAAAGAGATTGTACCACACTCAATTAACAACCCAGAATCAACCAAAACACCTAAAAGGCCATATAGGTGCGAACCACCATAATTGTCTGTGGGGAGAGAGAGTCCCCATAAGATGGGTCTGCTAAATATCTAATTGAAGTTGATGGAAGTTAACTAGAAGTGTCATTAGGAAGTTGTGTTTGCATATATACAGTTTGAGATGTCCTCTTGAGACGTGCAACCCGCCTACGATGGCCATGTCCCTGTCTGTGCTGCTTCCATTCATGAACTCCTCAAAAAACATGAAACCCATAGTACTCATATATCTGTTGGAGATAACGATAAAGGAAGAGAGAGGAAATATGAAGGTGGGTTTTGTGTAGAAGAAGAAAATAGTGATGGTGGTTCTGGTATTTCAGTGAAAGAAAGAGGTTTTCAGTTGGGTACATTTTATCGATGGGCCTTCTATTTGTGCTGATAAAGTTTTTCTAAGAATCTAAACCACTCGCTCCATCGTAACACTGTTGTCCCTTGTGACACAGGGAAAAAGGTTTGATCATGGATGCATACATATGGATCTTCAATTGAGAGGCATCAAATATAAAGGGAGAAAACAGAGGCATCAAATATAAAGAATATCGTGCCACGTTAAGAGAGAGTTCAACCATGAATTGCCACCTCCATCCCACATTCGTAATAGCATGCCAGTAAGGAGACACGTTAAACTCTTTTTTAAAAAAAAGTGTCCTCATGGACCGTTAGGAAAAATGGTTTTGAAAATGGTCCGAAAATATGAAGTTTTTTCGAAGCTGATGGTAACACAAAGGACTATCACAAAAATTTATTTCTTCATAAAGGATTTTGATTTTATTGTTATTATTTATCATATTATTTATTATTATTATTATTTAAATTTAGGGTTGTTGCAATTATCTTAAAATCTATTTTCATATCCAATTAAAAAAATTTAAATTTCAAAAATGGTTAAAATCAAGTAGATCTATAAACATATATGAAAATATTGAAAATAAACGGTCTAGATAATATGTTGCAAGATGCACTATTTTTGGGACTCAAAAACATTTATTTTTGTCATATTCATACATCTCAATGTCTAGATGAACAACTAGAAGGTTTTTCAATATTAAAACAACCTTTCCGATAGATTTTTGAGGTGCTTCTACATTTTAATGTAGCAACCTTATATAAATTTTTTCTATATATATATATATGAAATAATTTTATATAAGTGCGAGGCTCTAAACAATCAAAATAGAGCGTACCTTGAAATTTTCACTAGAAAAAGTTGTTTTAATGCTAAAATATTATCAAATTGATCATTTCGACATCAAGATACATGGGCGTAAGAAAAAAAATGGATTTCAAGTTTTTGAATTAATATATATTGTAATGCATTTTTTAACCATTAATTTCAAGATTTTCAAGTTTTCATATATCTAATGTATAAAATAATAATAATTTAGATTGGAACGGATTTCAATACTCCTTTGAGACGTATCAAATAAGAAGAACCTTATCACTCATACCATAATTACTACTCAATTGGACGAGCGCTATTTACGTGTCTCCAGGATCGATCAATAAAATAGTTTTTGTCTTTACTTTTGCTATCTTAAAATTAAAATACTTTGTTTCCTTAATTTTGTTATTTATCTTGAAATATAGATGACAAATACTGCATTTTATTGCTAAAAATCAGGTGAACGCTAGATTGGAACTCTAATTTCCATTTTTACGATGATCTGTATTGTGTTAAAAAAAAATCATCTCAAAGAAATATTAAACCTAAGTCCTAATGAGGCAAAATTGTTTGTTTTTATTATTTTCATCTGCATTTATTTATGAACAAAATTTATATAAGATTGGCACCTTAACGTGTAGAATTAAGGTGCTCCTCTAAATTATTTGAAAAAGGTTGCTTTGAGGTTGGAAAAACATCTAATTGATTATCTTGACTTCAAAATATATAGATATGGAGAAAAAAGATAATAGTACATCTCGCAACACATTATATGGATCGTCCATTTTCATGATTTTCATGTGTCTATAGATCTACTTGGTTTGAACCATTTTCAATATTTTTAGAGTTTAAATTTTTATAATTAGAAATAAAAATAGATTCTCGCACCATCTTAAAAAAATTCAGCACCAAAATTGCTTCTCATGACAAATTTTGGAGGTGCGCCTTAATTTGATTGTTTAGGGTTGCAACCTTATGCAAACCACACCCTCTATTTATTGGTGTTGTTTATATAAAGATACAATCTTACTCGTAGCAGTGAGGATGCAATGTTCTACACTGTCTATTGTAAATTGGACGATGTAAATTTGACATATTTTTAAGATAATATTAAAAAATGGCATGTATTTTAAGTTAGTATCAAACTACGCCTACTAAATAAAATGAACGATATAGATTATTGCAACCTTATTTATGGTTGTGAACATATATAACAACTAAAACAGAAGGAAAATGGTAAACATTAGAAACTTTTAATTTACCAGAAGGGTAAGAAACAAGAGATATGAAGCTTATTTTTTAAACTTTCATAGTGGTTCCATCAACAGTATAGATAGTATCAGAAAAAAACTTACAATCAACTAGGAGTGACTCATTAGAGGTCATATGATGAGGGGCTCCTGAGTCGATCAGCCAAGACGTACAAATAGAATAACCTGAGAAAGGCCAGATGTGACTCATAAAGCATAGACTGCACTTGTTTAAGTGTAAATGTCACAATTGATGAAGCATGAGTGGGATTGTGATATCCAGTTTGAGTTGGTGGGTACTTGATAAACGGTTGACTTGTACCAGCAATAGCAGCGAAGATGTATCCCAGTTCTTTACAAGTGTACGAGATGTATCCCAGTTCTTTACAATAATTACATCTAACAGATGACATGTTCTTGAGAGGGACACAATATAAATTGCGCTGATGTTGTTTAGGCACATTTCTTCACTAAGTCTCATGCCCTGCATCCTTTCTCACAGTTTGTTTTCAAACTCTCTATGATTCCTTTCAAATCATTTGAGTTTGATGGGGAATGTGAACAAATATGACAACTACAACAGATATGGCAACTGGATATTGAGATATGTCAGTGTCTAAATATATACTAGATCCATATAAAAACTGTATCCTATAATTTTATCCAGTATTGTCTGTACCCTCCCTATAAATTAATAATTGTATTGTGGTCTAGATCATTCATAGAATACATAGACATGTTATCTTTCACACTGGTGAAGTGAGGGTTGCAACTATATGTAAACTTTTATTCGCCCAAAAAAACTTATATATAAGTTTTTTTTTTTTTTTTCGTTGTGATCCCCAGAGAAACCTCTTGGAAAATACGTAATCCCTAGATTCCAAAAAACTTCCCGTGCCATTAAATTCATATAAAATTTGTTCTATTTCAAACAAAAAATTAAAACAAATCAAAACAAAAAGATCGTATATTCGCATGGGAGTTCATGTGCATTCATTCCCTCTCTAAACATCATCTTAGCATTTTTGGGATTATATTTGGGGGAGGCCACCTACCAAACAAAAAGAAGCAATCGTACTTGTACACAACCATGGACAATATTATTTCCAGTGATTCATTGGACACATTAATTTTTGACACCTAGATCTAAATATTTATGAACTTAAAATTTAGAAATTTAGACAAAACACTCACTTAGTGATTATAAAGTAGATTTCAGAGTTTCATATCGAGAAAATCCTTTAGGGCTGAAAGGGGTTGGGGTTATGATGGTAGCATCTCAACACACCAGTCACCACGATTCCCACCACGATTCCCACTAATATCTTCAAAAAACTAATTCCTAAATTATTTGGAAAAACGGGCAGGGGCTGTCTTCCCCACATAATTGTCAAAAAAAAAATAATTCATGTAGGGTCCTTTTTTTTAGGGGAGTAAGCTCACAAAGTGCATGTAGGAGTACACCAAATGCGCTCAAAAGACTCAAGATAGGAAAGACTATAATTTCACAGAATTCCCAAAAGATAAAAAATAACCATTTTTGATGCATGTCCGAATACACTAGAAATGGTGTAGGCTCTGCAACCTACACCGCCTAATATAGTATGCGGTGCAAATTGCACCCAAAAAATCCAGATAAGAGTTTTTTTGGGGCAATTTACATTGTTAAATGTAATTGGATCATTTAGATCGAAGGCCACACATGTGCAGACTGTGATACACTAAACACGATTTGAAAATCATAGTTCCTTACCACTTAAGTGAGAAAGAAATGTTTCGTGTGTGCCTTAAGATCTCCACCATCCAAATACATCAAGTATTGTAGATCACATTTAAAAGTTTGTTTATGTTTTTTGATACAATCTTCAATCTAATTCCATTGAGTGGTACATATATAAGGCTCTCTAACTTATGGGCTTCAAGTCAGCACCAAAACCAGGTCTTTAAATTTTAAAAAAGACCATAATAATAATTTAAAGGAAAAAGTTTAAGTAAGGATGCTACCTTATAATGTAGAACTAAGGATGCCCCTAAAAAATCTATCAGAAAAAGTAGTTTTAAAGTTGAAAAAATCCTTTGATTGATCATCTCGACATCGAGATATATGACCATGAAAAATAAAAAGATTTTAAATTTTAGAAATAATGCATTTTACAAGATATTATCTACACCGTCTATTTTTAAGATTTTTATATGATTATAGATATCCTTGATTTTAACTATTTTTGAGATTTAAAATTTTAAAATTAAATATAAAAATAGATTTTGAGATAATTTTAAAAATATTTTACATCAAAATTATATACTATAAGAAAATTTGAAAGTGCACCTTACCTCTACACCGAAGGCATCCGTATGCCAACTGCACCCTAATTTAAATATCCGTTATATTTATGTTATTAACAAGATACCTAAACTTTATGTTATTACGCATCCGTTGAACTCCATTGAAACTGCTTCATTGCTCACCATGCACCAGACAGCCATGCCATCCTCCACCCGCCACGTGTGGCTGAAGTAAAAGCCATTGGTAGGATGCTCCTCGCCTCGACTCTCTCTCACTAACACGAAACCCTGAAAAAATCAGAGGTGAATTAAAACCCCTTCATATCTCAAGTACCCCATATCTCACAGCAACCCTTACCTTATTTGATTCTTCTTCCACCATATCTCACCTCCATATCATATGGAGATATGCAGCTGAATTTCCTTAAAGCTCCATTTGAAGAGGCAGAAAAAAATAAAATAAGGGAATCAAGTAATAAATATAGCTTAGAATCATAACCCGTATTGTTCTTCTGTAATTTGATTGCATTTATCTGTACAGCAATGAATTTTTTGACCTAGAATCACAACCCATATGTTGTCTTTCTGCAATTTGATTGCATTTTTCTATATACCAATGGATTCTTTTTGGTTGTGTTTCTTTTTTGGGTCAATTTTTCGTTCTGTCTCTGATTCTGCAACTTGTACAAAATCCCAACTCTTTTTTTCCTTTTTATTCATTTTGTTTTTAGAACATGGTGAATACCATCTGATAATGATTCCATTGCTTTTTTATCCTACGTTTTTCTCTGATTCTACATGATTTTGTATTAGCCATTTCTGAATTTGGCGCAATTTTTTTATGAAGAGACAAGCATATCTCCAGTTGGTGAGGAAAGTGAAGAAAGAAAACCGTAGAAAACAATGGGCACTATGGAATGGGAATCAACTATTGGATCTGGGATGGTGTTTGTTATCCCGTTTATATCGTGGTTTAATGCTTACAGTTGCCATTTTTGGGCAATCTACTGGTCATTTTGGATCCATTGGGGTTCCAGGGTTCCCTTATTCGTTGCTGGATTTGGGAAATTTTCAGAAGTAATATGTGAAAAGGAATGTTAGGGTTTATATGGATGGTTGCTTTGATCTCATGCATTATGGCCATGCAAATGCACTTAAGGTAGGCTAGGGCTTTGGGTGATGAACTGGTGGAGGTCATGGTGAGCGATGAAGTGGACGGGCTATTTTGGGTTTTTCAAAAACCGAAGTCATGCTCATTTGGGTTTTTGAAAAACCTAAAATGAGCCATTCGTTATTTTTTTTTTGGTTTTTTTTTAAGTATGTTATATATTTGAAAAAGTTTTAAGTATTTTTGTAATAACGAGAAATATAATAGATATTTATATAAAGTTTTAAGTATTTTTGTAATAACAAGAAATATAATAGATATTTATGTAAATTTTTTCTAAATTTGATGTCCATTAACAATTTTTTAAAAGTATATCTAAAATTTCAATTTTATGTACAATGCACATGCAAAACATATAAAAATACAAATTTCAAGTGAACAAAATTTGAAAAATAACAAAAATATCTCTAAAATTTATGTATGATATTTTGGCTTTTAAATAATAATATCAAATGAACAAAATTATCAGAATGACAAAAATATCTCTAAAATTTATATATGTGATATTTTGGATTTTTTAATTAATTATATTTGCCAAGATGTAAAATGGTGAAAAGAGGGGAGAATTTGATCTTAATTTAATATATCAAAAGATAATTTTAAAATAAATAAGTCAATGAAAAATATAAATTTTCAAGGACAATTTTTAAATTTCAAAAGATACATAGGAGATTCGCGTAAGGAAAAAATTTATACAAGGTTGACACCTTGTATAATTAAAGTGTGTCCTAAAACTCCATCAAAAAAGGGTATTTAAACATTGGAAAACTATCTAATTCATCATCTTGAGATGTCTCTATATGAAAAAAAAAAAAAAGATTTTAAATCTTAAAAATAATACATCTTGCAACACATTATTTATACTGTTCATTTGTAAGATTTTTATAAATTTATTGATACAAATTTTAAAATTTAAAATTTAATATTTTTAGATGAAAATGCACCAAAATTAACAAAGTTTGAAGGTGCGCCTTCTTTGTTTGGTTAAGTTGCATAAGGCGCGTAATTTTCCTTGGTGCTCCTCTCCAAAAAGGAAAAAATAATATTAAACAATAATAAAAGTCGCAAACGCAAGAACGCTGCATATGGTAGCAAAATCAGAGGTTTTCGGGTTATTCGTCTTTTCCTTTCTCTCTCAAATGTGATTTTACTCTATAGGAAAAACCAGAGACCTCTGCAAATTTAGAATGTTAAAGAAAGAGAACCCCAAAACTAGGTCAGAAATGGCGGGAAACTCAGGTGGCGGAGGTGGAGGAGCTGGCACTGCAACACCTGGTGCAAAGAGAGGTCGTCCTTTTGCCTCAGCTTCTTCGACCCATTCAGAGCATGCCATGCCTTCCACACTTCTTGGTCCGTCTCTGCAAGTTCATTCCACTTTTCAAGGTTCCAAAACCCTAACCCTAACTTCTTAAATTGCATTCAGCGTTGTTATGTTATCTGTGGATTAAGTGTGAAGGACCCTACCTTCTCATTTTCTTTTGTACTTTGTAATTTGTGTTGGTGGTGTTATTGATGAGTTTTTTGTTTGAATGCACTCTAATTATATGTAAATTTTTGTCTGGGTTGCGCTAAACTCTCCATTGTTGTTCATTATTGTGGTTTATATTGGAATGATGTCCAGGATATTCTCATCAAGTTCATGGATAACTTGAAGTGACCCTAAAGTTTGCAATGCTTTTATTTATGTTTTATATTCGACTCTCTCCATTTACATAATTCTGAAGAGCTCTAAATTCCATGGGCTGTTAATTTTAGTTTCTGTGCTAGGACGGACAGTTGATGTCATGGCTGTGTGGCTTTGGGGTCCTATAACCCAAGTGATGAAACTCTGTCTTTAACCACATGAAAAGCTTATCCACGATCGAAGATTTAACTGTCTGCTTGGCCATGACCAAAAATCCAGCTTAACTCCAGCCAAAAGTGCCAGTGTTTATAAATCGTACGAATCAGGGTAAAACAGTGAACCTCTATTTAACTGAAATCAAATAACAGTTTCAGCTAAACCGCGGTCAAAACGATGGCAGCTTGCTTAGCCGCAGCCAAAGTGTGTTGTTTCAGCTCAACTGTGTCCAATGCGAACATAACCTTCTTAAGTCCAATATCTGAGGCATTGGCCATGGCAATCTTGGGAAATGAGTTCCTTAATTGTCTGGTTGTCGGTGTAACTCCTTATCTGCCTTAGAGTTAATCTCCCTTAACCACAGTAAGAAATTGTTCCCTAATCACAATCAGAGCAACACTGTAAAGCCGAGGAAATTGCAAATCTACAACAAAGTAAGAAATTCACTGAGTGCAAATTCTTCTCATATGTGTCAATTGAATGTAGCGTCAAGAGGAACAACAAACTTGTATTTGTATGCAAATACAACAACGAAACAGAGGGGTTTTGAAGTCTAACTTTTAAAACCATATCTGGTTGTTCTTTGAAAATGACATAGAGGCACGAAATGTTCTCTCCGTCTTGAATGTATTGAACACACTTAGACTTAGTATCTATAAGGTACAGTTCGAGCCCTGATGAGTACACCTCCATGATACAACTGGGCCAAGTGAAGCACTTGTTGAAGTCTTCTTAGAGTTGCAGTCCCCGATATGGTTTAAGAGAATTCAGGGGGCTAAATTGATTGTCATCTTTCTTGGTGTTGGATTAGGAATTGATTTTGAGCTCAGGGAAGAATTTTTATGAAAAATATCTGAGAAACTTGTCGAGAATTTTGATTTCTCAGTAAACCACGGTAAGAAGCTGCAAAGGTAGTTTATCTCTTTAAAACTTCAAAAGGTTTTTGAAAAATATCAGAATTGGGTGTTTATAGACATCAAAGTTCATAGTTGATGTACTTGTTTCTTGTTGAAAGGAAGTTCACCGTTGTATTAGAAAAGAGAAAGAGTTACAAAAAAAGTATAGGTCACCCACAGGCTGGGTGCTCTTTACAGCTCACGAAAATGGGGTTATCTCATACTATACAAAATTTTGGTATATATGTACACAGCAATAAACAAAAAAGGGTAACCCAGCTAACCCACTAAGCAAAACGTGGGGCAGCTAATAGAGCTGAGGCGGTTGTCATGCAAAAGGTCTCGATGGTAGCTCCTGGGGGGTGGTGTGTGGGCTGTTGTCGGTTTTGGTGACCAACATGTTGGTGAGAAAGAAGGGTGGCTTCGGTAAAACCTGCTGATGTAAATGTTGCAGTGTAGATATATCTAAGGTAGGATGGGAGGCTGGGCTAGTGTGAGTAAAAGAGCGGGTTGAGGGTGCATGTCTTGGTAAGGGAAGGGGGATGGGGGCAGCGGAGCAAAGGATCCAAGAAACTAGAAGAGATTTTGGGGGGTGGCTGAGGGTCAGAATGACAGAGGGGGTGTTTGTACTGAAGGATCAAGGCAGTGGTATTGGGTTGAGGTATGGGGGAAGGAAGAGGAAGGGAATGGGAGCAGACGGGGGGAGATTTCTCAATACTGATGATGGAGGGGGAACGGGAATGGGCTAGCACGTGGGATGAAGTCAATTCAGAAGAGGTTACTGCCTGCTCCTTGCTGCTATGGGGAGAGTTGGCTGGTGGTTTGGCACATGGGGGGGCTACCAAGATCTATCTTTGAGAAAGAACTGAGAATAGTGATGGCATTGGGGAACATCACCAGGTGGCAACCCTGTGGAGTAGCAGGGGATGCTCCTGAGGTGTATTGAGTTGACTGAGGGGGTAGAGGGAGTGTCGTGAGGCACCGTGAAGGGGAAGTGCCGCCACATGGTGCGATGTAGACGTAGCAGCAGATTGGTGGGATGGGCTTGAGTTTGGGTGGTAAATTTGAGTAAGATAGTTTAAAAATGGGGAAAAAGACTAATTCCTCCCTCTCGATACCTATAGTCCCATAAAATGCTCAAGTTGATAAAAAACACATGAATTCCCTCCAAGTTCTCAAAGTAGGACGTTAACACCCCCTCCCCCCATCCTTACTTTCTACGCTGTGAATTTACCATGCTATCTTTTTCTTTTAAGAAGGGAGATTTTCTGCCAAGACCTTGACCATGAAGAAATCCCCTCTTGTCCACCCTCGTTAACCCTCTCTGTCTCCCTTAAGCCCCCTATTTCTGTTCTTTTCTACATTGTGAAACCCTCTTCTCTCTCTGCATAAACCCCAAGCGATCTCTACCTTCTGCAGCATCATCACATGAACCACGCTGGAGAGTCAAAGAGTGGAAAAGCAACTCAGAGAGTAATGGAAGGATTTGCAGAGAGCTATTTCATATAGCACCAGCTAATGGGTTTTGAGCGTGGAGGAGTTCATGCAATGAAATTTCATGAATGAGAAGAACCCATTCACTAAAATGTGAAAACCCAAGTATCCTTAGCTTCACAAAGCAAATATTTCTGGGTTCTATGATTGGTAAATTTTGAACTTTTTCTAAAAGCTCCATGCTTCCGTCTGTAATTAACTATGCTGGCACGTCTTGGTTACTTGCACACAAAAGTAAAGGCAGTTGTAGATGAACGAAACCCTTGGACAAGAATATTGGTGTTTTTCGGCCCCTCAAATTGGACCAAAATATTGTTGTTTTTCTCCATTTCTTCTTTCTTTATTACTTTCTTTATGAATATGATTCTTTGGAGATGCTGTTGAGGCATTGTATGAAAACATAGTAGGATGTGGATCAGTAAAAGTTTGATTTGTAATGGACTTGGGTTTTACCGCTTCACAATAGGATTTTTGACCCAGAAAATGATGTTCCTTCTCTGGTTGAATTTATTCATATGACATATTAGAGAGGAATGTTGGAGCTGCAGATATTTCAGGTATGAAGTGATAGAGCAGTTCATCTGATGGTGCATGTTGGAGTACTTGTCCTTTTTATAATTCCCATCTCCATGAAATGATTCACAACAGAGAAAGGGCTTCACATGTAAAGTCAGAGAGGGAGTGTGGGGGTTGAGGGTAGTGCAAGAGAGAGCGAAACAGGCTTTCTCAGCAGCTAAGGATTTGGCTAAGAGCTCCCATCGAGGAGTGAAATAGAATATGCAACCGTGAGCTCCCAAGCAGTGGGAGGAGAATTTGATCTTTGACTGTGTGCCTGTTGAAGAATGAGCTGGCAACTCATTGGCAGTGGCTTGGTTGAGGGAGTCCATCGGAGCCGTAGTGAAAGAGATTCGCCCTGCAATTTGTACTTGAATCCCCTTTATATTTGCTTGTTCAGCTAATTCAGTAGCTTTTTTTATTGCTTTTTGAAATGAAGCTCTTTTTTTTTTATTGCAGAGCAATATATTCTGCAATAATATCAGGTTATCCATAGGGTCTTGCAATTCTTGTGATAGCAATGTTGAGTCTCTGATTCATGGAGTTCAACTTTTTTTGATACATTTTCAATCAACCAATGTTGAATTTTGAAACATCAGCCAATCTATTGTATCCCGTGGGATTGAAAATCCTATTCTATTTTGTCTTCCTTGTTGCTTATGCTGCCAAACCATTGATTAGACCCCTACATACATGGTTACTAGATACTCATGGGGAAGTGCATTACAGCACATGTATGCTTCTAGCTGGAATCTTATTAAAAATGGAAGCAAATGGATTGCTTCGGATCAATGTGGAATTATTACCCCATGCTTATTCTATATTAGGAGTTTCAGGGGAGAGAGATGGAGTTCATCAGGGTGGAAGCAAGTGAAACAGGTTTTCTCAGCAGCTAAAACTTTGGACAAGATGTCATTCCTTGAAAGAAAAGGGGCGGTATGGTAAATTGCATTGTGTAAAAAAGTCAGGAAGGGGTTGACGTTCAGTTTTTAAAACTTTAAGGGGATCCACGGGTTCTTTGTGGACCAAGGGATTTTTCAGGGATCATTAATACTGGGAGGGGGATATTAGTCTTTTCCCTTAAAATGACCTCAAACTAAGTCTCAGACACTGGTCTACACCGACTAAACTTGTTGTTCAGAGAATGAGAATCAAAGCTATTCACATTTCGCTCTCTTATCCCCCAAAACTAAAAAAGTTGGTTTGAAACTCCATTTAATATTAATGCTTTGTACCAACCATACACTAAGCAAGATATGCTGCATATGCTAGTCACTTAGATGACAAGGGTGGTTCTATGATTAGGTGGTCATATAAGGACTGGATGGTGTAGCTTTTACTAATGTTGTTTTGATTTGTTCACCCAGTTCCACTACAAATGTATAAGAATATCAGTTGGTTGTTTGATCAAGATATCTTTCTTTAAGTGCTTAGCCTGTTCCAGTATCAATTAATGAAAATTAGTTTCATTGAATCTTGTTCTAATCTCACCATATGATTGTTTTTTTTGCAGATCAAAACCACAAAAGGATAGTTCTGGCTTTGCAAAGTGGGCTAAAAAGTGAAATGATTTGGGCACTGAACACTCTTACATTGCTCTCATTTAAGGAGAAGGATGAAATCAGGAGAGATACGACACCTCTTGCAAAAATACCAGGACTGCTAGATGCTCTTCTACAAGTTGTATGTTTTATTTCCACCTTGATTTATTTTTTCCTGGTAATTAGGATTTTTTTTTTGTGTGTGTGTGTGTTCTTCTAATATGGTCTTCCTGTCTTGCATTTATGATGTTTAACGATATCAATATGTTTCTTTCCCAAAAATATCTCCTTTTGAGAAACTTTAGAAGGGTGCCTCAAAATCCATTTATGATTGACCAAACACTTGCTACCTTGGTGAAGCTTTACTTTGAATAAGAAGCCAGTGAGGCATCTCCAGTGCCTGGAATCCTTTTGCCGAGGAGGCCATTATGCTGGTGGCTTGTAAGGATTGAAGCTTGTTATTCATTTTTGTGCATCAAATATAACACAGTAACTTGTCGTATCTATACCTATTTAATTAAGCATTATCACATAAAATAATACTTCGATATTGAAATCCAGAAATTACCCATGATTGAAGCTAACAGATTTGGTATTATGCCTTTTTAATATTGATATTAAAAGTTCCTCCCCAGACTTTTTTATCTTTCCTCTTCTAACAACTCCACTGGGCAGTCTCTTAGACACTGCAGAACCCCCTCCTCTAATTCAATATAAACATGAAGATCCTAGTCTGGAATATTAGGGGTCTAGATGGAACCCTAAAAAAAAGAAGCTCCCCTAAACTTCTCGCACAAATACTCCCCATACATTCTACCTATTCTTGAAATCAAGGCTTCCAACCCACCAACCCATGTCAAGATAGTTTGAGTGAGGAGCCCTTGCCTGTGGATTGCCTTAGTTGCCCAGAGGCTCTTCTGGTGGAATCTGCGTTATTTGGGACCCAACGCTTCACTCAATGTCGTCTAACCAAGTTAGTATCTACTCTATACCTCTCTTTACCTCTCTCCATAGAACTTCTAATGTTACTGCTGGAAATTCATGGCGGTCTATGGACCTAAGAGGCCACAATTTAGAGCCTCATTCAGGCAAGAGCTACAAGCCATTGCCAGCCTCCAACGATCCCCATGGATGATTGGAGGTGATTTCAATGTCACCAGGCGCTCACATAAAAATAACCGAAATGGTAGGATAATGGCTAGTGTGGCTCAGAGTTCATTCTCGACAATAACCTCATGGACATCCCTTTTAATGGCTCCTCCTACACTTGGTCAAATCACTCCATGAACCCTAACTCAAAAAAAAGGACAGATTCCTTTGACACCCACATGGGAGGGCTTTTTCCCAGGTACCTCCTTCGTTGCTTTACCCAAATCTACCTCTGACCACAAGGAACCTCGCCTTTTCTGGACCCAAACCTTTTTTATTTGAACTATCTTGACTTGATGAGCCAGGAATCCACAACTTGGTCACCAAGGAGTGATCCTCATTTGTGATCTAGGGGTGGGCCAGTTATAGATTACAGAGGAAACTCAGCTTCTCAAAACAGCCCTCAAAACTTAGAGTTGTATGCTGCCTGGCAGCTTTTCACCAGCCAAACAAGCAACCCTCACTAAGATTCAAAACCTAGACTTTCAAGAACACAGAAAACTCACAAGCAGAATTCCAGAACAAGGCAGCTGGAATGTTCAAAGATGCGGATTCGGTCGCCTAGGCGTTCTGGGTGCCTGCCCGCCTAGGCCGGCGCCCAGAGACAGGGTACCCTCACCAAAATTGAAACCCAACATACCACCCCCGCCCCCGACAAAAAAAAATGGGGTGTTCTTAGGGCATGGTTTTAAGCCTTAGGGAGTTTTTAGGGAAATTTTAGAGCCGCAAACTCCTCGTGAAATAGACGAAAATGTAATAGTACAATCACATAACAGATTTACGGATACAAGTCTCAAAGAATACGATATATGGTCAATTTCATTGTCCAAATGAGAAAAATTCAATTAATTGCAAAAAATCAATCTTTTAACTACAAACATATAAATATATCGTAAAAGAAAAAAAAAAGTAAAAGAAAAACACATGATCATAATATATCAAAATCAAATCGATGTCGGCGCAAACCTCATCTATTGGGTCGCCAAAAGTTCTCAAAATCAAATACTAGAAGCTCCAAATCCACCCACAAACTATTGCTTTTGTTTTGGGAAGAATTAAAAAAGCCAAAAAATTTATCGATCTTTCTATAAATCACAAAAGAGTGGTTTTTGGGGGGTTTGTCTCACCCTAAAGGCCATGTTTTTTGTTTTGGGGTTTATAATACCCCCCAAAACCCATTCTCCCCCTTTTTAGATGGGAAAAATTACATTTTTTGACCATCACTGAGGGTTTTTTTCTGTCCGTTTGTAGAGTGTCACAGGGCGACACCTAGGAAAAATAGGCGGATCTTAGATGGTGCCTTTGTATCCCATGAGGCTATCCATTCCATACGTCTTGCAAGCAAAACGGAACTCATTCTAAAACTAGATTAGAAAAAAGCATATGACCATGTAGATTCAAACCTGTTAGATGAAGTTATGCAAAGGATAGGATTCGAAACAAAATGGAGAAAATGGATTTGGGGATGCATCTCTGCAGTCCATTTTATCATCTTGTGAATGGTTCTCCATGTGGTCTCTAGAGGATTAAGACAAGGAGATCCTCTGTCTCTTTTTCTTTGTGCAATAGTGGCAGGAATATTCAGTAGATCCATCGCAAGGCTCCACCTTAGGGGTGACCTTTAATTCAGGATTCAAATCATCAGCTAACTTACCTGAAAGTTGTCATTTGCAATAACACTCTCATTTTCTATGATGCCTCCTTCCAAAAAATGGACACCATGTGGCTTTTCTCAGGTGTTTTGAAGTTGCCACTAGACTGAAGATAAATATGTCCAAATCCAAATTAATGGATGTTGGTTTAAGCTCTCAATCTGTAAGAGATTTTGCAGACCATATTGGCTGTGGAACTGAAGTACTTTCATCCATATACAGTACACTTGGGGCTACCGTTATGCATTGGAAAACCAAGGAAATCTTTTTGGGATCCTGTGGCAGAAAAATTTGAAAGAAGCTTGCTGTGTGGAAGGTAATTTCTTTCTTTAGGAGGTCAAAATACGTTGATTAAAGCCACACTTGCAAACATCTCTATCAACCTTTCCTCTCTATTTTCTAATGAGGAAGTTCCTTTGAGCTGGGATGAGAACACAAAACGATTCGTCTAGTGGCATGGGAGAAGCTAAGCACCCAGAAATCTGAAGGACAAATTGGAATACGGGACCTGGAATCATTTAATCTTGCACTTTCGGGGAAATGGTGGTGGATATTTGCCACCCAACAGGGCCATTTATGGCGAAGGGTTCTCCATGAATATGGGTTTGACCAAACAAGATGGTTTCCCAAAAGCATTCGACATGAGAATGCCTCTGGGGCCTGGAAAAGCAACCGTAAAAACTGAACCCCTTTTATGGATCACACTAGATTTTGCGGCAACCAGCAGGTACTAGGGGGAGATTTTGACAAGACCGCTTTCACTGATTTCCACAATAATTGACCTAACCTATTGCAGCGAATCCAACCTAGAATCTCGAGGGCATCTTTGTGGAGACCACCTGAAAGAGGTACTATCAAGCTCAACTTTGATGGTTTGCTCTTTTGGCAACCCGGGACTCTCAGGCATAGAGGGTCTCTTTTGTTCTAGTGATAGATCTATTTTGTTGTTATTTGCCCATTCTATTGGAATAATGGACTCCACTCTTGCTGAGGCTCTTGGCTTGTTGGAGGGCCTTCGCAAGTTTGATCCCTAATGGAGTCTGAATTTGGTAATTGAAGGAGATGCCAAGAACATTATCTCTTGGGCATCTAATCGTTTACCTTGGCCATGGCGTTTTGATGACCTTTTCGAAGAGATAGTGCATCTAACCAGGAATGTCAACATTACTTGGAGCCACGTTCTCAGAGGAGCCAATTCAGAGGTTGATGGTTTGGCAAAGGAGGGGGCCTTGTCCAACACCCCTGTGGGGAGCTATTGTGTGCCCACCTGTTCTTCGCAGGTCCTCTGAGTAGCCTTTTGCGCTTTATACATTTGGTTCCTTTGGGGCTTGTATAGAGTGACCCTGTGGGGTCACCATACTTCTCGATTGTCTTATAATCTTAACTAATTATTAATACAATTATAGTGAACTTCCATTAAAAAAAACATAATTATCCACAGATTTCCCCACTATGGATTCCACCAATCATAAGCTCAATCAAACTAAATGTTGATGGCTGCTCACTTGGAAATCCAGAGCCTGGCCTTGGTGGTGTCCTCAGAGATAATTTAGGGAATGTGTTCCTGACCTTTCCAGATTATTTAGGCCAACTGGATTCCACCACGGCTGAACTGATGGCAATCATCTTGGGACTCGGAGTGGTTCCATCCAGATTGGGGTTGGCACTTTAATGGTGGAGGACGATTTCACCAATGTCATCCGATGGGTATCTAGAACTGCCCCATGCCCTTGGAGACTCATATTTTTTACCACATTTGTTATCTACACATGAACTAGGTGGTCTCTTTCCATCACATTCGGAGGGAGGCAACTCAATGGCTGACATGCTGTCTAGAGAGGGCGCCACAAAGGGGACCATATCACACGGCACCTAGTCTTCTTTTCTCCTTCCTTCCATACTGACTCGTTCTGATTCTTTTTTTCTTCTTCCATGTCGCTCTTTTACCTATCTCTATCAGCTCTCTTCTATCTACTCTTCTACCCTGTTTACAAGAACCTCTTTCTATGTTCTTCACTTTCTTTATTTCTATCCATACGTACTAGCTCTCTCTCTTTTTTGGTGTAGTGGGACCCAGCTAACCCACATTCTCTTTCTGATATTAACTCTAACCCACATTCTCTTGCTGATATTAACTTTCTTATTTGACACTGTCAATATTCTTGTATACTGGAGTACCTGTGTGGGATGCCTTTCTAATCTCACACTCGTGGGTTCTTTTTTAACCCCTTTTTGACTACAACAGTGATTACTTTCCCTTTTTTTTTTTTTAAATGTGGACTGTTTTATATTGAAATTACTCGTTGAATTAGAACAAGTGAGTAAAGCTAACATATTTGATGGTGAATGCTTTTTTAAAGTTGTAGTGACAGAGACCTTTTCAAAGAGGGAATGGGGGGATGGCCAGTTTCACCCTGTTCTGCTGAATACTATACAATGCCCATTCATTCCTTGTTTAGAGAAATCTCGTTAACCTTTGGAAAATGAAAGAATAGAATGGCGCCTTTTCAAGTTTGATCGAATTTTGCATTTCAGATATTGTTTATAACTGCTTTTAAATTGATCTTATTTGGCATGTCACCTCTTGTTCTGCCCTCTTCTTTAATACTAAGTCACGATGGTTTTTAATGAAGATTGATGACTGGCGTGATATGGCATGCCCCAAGGATACATGGAGGCCATCAAGGTATCGAGCACTGGGGACAAACAGTGTTGTTACAGGCTTTGGGTCTGCGTATGAGGCTGCTGGCTTGAAAGATTCTCTTTCTCGTCTCAGGTAAATTGGATTGATAAAGTATACTATAATCCATTGAATTATTGGAAAAGCATTGTTCAGTGGTCCTTCGACATCCATTAAAATAATCAACTATTTTTATTTTTTTTTAACAGTTATACCTTTTCCATTTGAAATTTGTTTGTGTTCTAGTTTTTCTTTTTTCAGATGTTACTAGCAGTTTTCAGACTTGATGCTTTTTCTTTTTTTACATGTTATTAGCAGTGTTCAGACTTGATGCCATTTTAAACTGAGACTCTTTATTTTCTGATAGTTCTGAGACTGGATTATCCAATTCAGAAGGTCCAGTTAGTACAGGACCTAAACGTAGGGCCACGGAGTGGTGGTTTGAGGAAGATGGTCTTTTTAATGTGGATGAAGAGGGTCGGGCAGAAAGGCAGCAGTGTGCTGTTGCTGCTTCGAATATCATCCGCAATTTCTCATTCATGCCAGAGAATGAGACAATCATGGCACAACATCGCCATTGCTTGGAAACTTTGTTTCAGTGCATACAAGACTACATTACTGGTGAGAAAAATTTGTCATTGAATCGTAAAAAATTGCCTTCTCAGTTACCAGTTAATCATATAATGCTTATTTGACATATGGTTGAAATATCTATATAAGTAAATCATCATTTTCCTTTTCAAAAAAAATATAATTTCAACTGTAGAAATGACCAACAAAAGCCCATGATGGGAAACCTGGATTTGTAGATTGTCATTTGAAAATTGAGTGTGGCAGGCACTGTAAACATCAAATGTGCTGTGCATTTTGTATGTTGGAGGAACTTGGTCATTTCCTGAATTTTTTTACCCAACTTATGAAGTAATATGAGGGGCACTTGGCTGTTAATAGAAATATTTGTTTGATAAGATATTAATGAAATTGCCATTAAGAATAAAAGATCCATTTGTGGGGAATATTTTTTACAAAAAAGGAATTATTCGTAATGTTATGAAAGCCTTATTGTATCTAACTGTTTCCTTTTGATAGATATCATATATGTACGGGTCTAACTTGCTTATTGACTTATTGCTCGCTTCTGTGCACAGAGGATGAAGAACTTGTTACCAATGCACTGGAGACCATTGTCAACCTAGCTCCACTTCTGGACCTGCGAATTTTCAGCTCCTCAAAGACATCTTATATTAAAATAACGTAAGCCATGCCCCATCCAGCATTTTGTATTTCTTTTTTTTTTTTATTGTAAGCCTTACTTCCCATTTGTCTTTGGTGCAACTAGAGAGAAATCTGCAGTCCAAGCAATTGTTGGGATGTTGGGATTGCCTGTCAAGGCTTGGCACTGTGCAGCTGCTGAACTCATCGGAAGGCTAATTATAAACCCTGATAATGAACCATTTCTTCTTCCTTGCGCTCCAAAGGTTTGTTCTACTGCATTTAACAGATTCCAAAAAAAAAAAAGGGTTTGTCTTATTGCAGAACTGGAAAATATACTACAACCAATCAACTGGAAAACACAGTCATTTGGGTTGTTAATGTCCAATGTAATGAAGCACTTCGATGAGGATAGAGTGGTTTCCACTGTCGGTGTCATAGCGGTTTGCACTCTTTCTTCATCACTGTCCACGTCTTAATCCATATGATTATAGTATTCTTTCACTCAAGGAGTATAGGAATCTTTTTCTTGTCAGCGTGCTTGTGGTGGTGATACTATGTGTTATTCCTTGAATATATGTGTTTTCTTTTAATTATAAAATATATGTTGGATTTCTTTTGCAGATATACAAGCGCTTAGTTGATCTTTTGGGTTTTCCAGTTGTTGATTCTCAGGCAGGAGCTGTTGCTGCACTGTACAACCTTGCTGAAGTCAATGCTGACTGTCGATCGAAGATTGCCCATGAGCGATGGTAATATTTTTAGGGTTTTAACCTAGTACTTTCTGCTTGTTAAGAAAAGAAAACAAATATTGGAATTTGATGAATATAGACCATGTGTCTCAAAAAAAAAAAAGTTCTTTTTTTACATCTCGTACCTTACATGATGTCCAAAACACCCACAATCTTCATGGCTTGATTGAGAAAAGCCATCACTAACACTGCTTTATTATAGTGACTTGGCTTCATTGGCTGTCATGGCTATTTTTTGTAGTCTTCGTTTTTTTTTATAGGGCGTATATACTATGAGAACATTTATTTTCGGTACAAGGAGGTCACAATTATTTTTAGCCATTGGATGTGAAATCCAATAGATGAAAGTGTGCATTTTAGAAATTTGATTTTGGACTTTGTGCCCAAACAACAGCACATCTTCAACCACCAATTTCGAATCTAACATTCAATGAGATTGTGACCTCCCTATATCAGAAGTAAATGGTCTCATTGTGTACATCTCTTTTTTATTTGAAATTTCCTATAATTATGCATAGTATTTTACATTAAAAAACATTTCCTCCAAAGGTCTCCTATTATAAAGTAGTACTTTTAGGCACTTCTATCAAAAATATGGTTTGAACTCAACCTTAGTTTAATGGAAGAAATCTTGTGTTTTGACCTTTTTGATAACATGCTCAAAAGCAGAAATGCAATAACAAAAGTACAAATGTTTCAAATAGTTTTGGGTTTAATTGTCTAAAATTACTTCCACTTTTTTTAATAGTTATTCCAAGTCAGTTGGGTTTATGTTTATGCTCCTTTTCATCCAAAAGTGATGAAGATCATCAAGGAAATTTTGGACACTGTATCGGTTATTTGGTGTTGACGTAGAAAATGGCAAAAATTTCAAGTGCACTGTGGAACCTGTGTTGGTCTCTTGTTCTGTTGAAAACATTCATAATCTATATTACATAATACCGTGCATCTTCTTCTGTTTTCCAGGGCAATAGAACGACTTTTGAGGATTATTCGTGCTCCGCATCCCATGCCAGAGGTTTGCAGGAAAGCCTCGTTGATATTGGAAAGCCTCGCATCTGAGCCACAAAATCGGGGTGCACTTCTTGCTTTTGAGAATGCCTTTTCTGAGATCCTCTTCTCGGATACAAGGAGTTCAGATTCATTTGCAAGGATACTCTTTGAACTGACCTCGAGGTCTAATAACAAAGTTGCAATGGCTCGTGGTATTTGGGGAATGTAAAATTTTTGCAATTAAATAAAGGTACGAAAGAATCTTTTGAATTCTTCTTTTTATTGGTTTTCTGAGATTTTGTTGCTTATGTTTCTATTCATGATTTTGAGTTCATCTTAAATGACTGGTCATATAGAACATTAAATGTGCAGCAAAGCTGACATTCAATGATATGCTTACAGTTCTAGTAAGACTATTGGGAAATTAAGGTCTTCAATTCTCAATTTGAAGCGGAGGAGCGTAAGTGCTTTGGTACCATGGTATTACATGGTCCTTATGTAGTCAAATTACAGTGATTAGGGTCTTCAAACAACCTGAAAATCAGTCATCCGAGGGTAAAGGTTTTTCCCAGTAGTGCTTGACTATGGCTGGAAATCACAGGACTCTGATTCACTGTGGCCAATGCTCGAATGTCCCATGAATTGAGGTAGAATCATTGAGGCTTGATGTACTAAGGTCCGATTAGTGTCTCAGTGAAATCGATGCCAAAAGGTAGACTGTTTGCTTAACCGCAGCCAAAACTCGTTGGTTTCAGTTTTAACCACACGAATCTTCAAGTTTTGAAATATTTGGAACTCTCATTCTTGGAAGCAAGTGTTTTCGCTTGTTAGGGAATAAGTGAAGACTTGCTTGTCAGGGAATAAGTGCAACTCACTTAAAACTCCTATGGGATTGAATTTTGTCTTACTCCCATAGGATTTGAGATTTGTCTTGACCTTCGTCAGAAATGGGTTTTTCATCCACAGTTACAACAGCAACTCTGAACTGAATGAAGTTGCGACTGAATGAAAAATCAATGACTCCAACCTTACTCATGTGGTACATATGAACTCTGTATTCACCGGATCTTTGATTTTGAGCTTCTCTCTGAACATAGAACAGTGAAATCAAGGTTTTCAAACGTTTTTAACTTTTTAGGGCTGTGCTTCACAATGGACTCCTAGGAACAAAATGTTCTTGTAGTCCTCAAAGATATTAATTGCTGTCGATTTAGAAACTTTGGATTGCAATCAAATTCGAGATGTGTATACCCGAACACTCAATGTGCTATCGATGTCTTCAATGTATTAATCGTCCCTGACTCAGAAAATCTGAGATGCAATCGGATCCAGGCGAGTCTACCTCCAAGATACAACTGAGTCAAGTGAAATACTAGTTAAGTTGTTGCCAGAGTTGCACACTCTCACAAACTTCTGAGGACTACGAAGGCCAAGCCCATTTGCTCTTTCAGTTGAAATAGGCCTGTGACTCTATTTCAAACTCAGGGAAACAACTTTCAGAAGAAACAATTGAGCAATCAAGTAGAAATTGCGGTAATGTGGCCAGATTTTGCAGATGCGAGTTTCAATAGAAAAAGGGGTACTTATGGACTTAGAATTTTTTTGTTGATCTATTGTTGAAACAGTGAAGCAGGTCGGAGTAGTTGAAGGATAGAATGCATGTGCAAGTTTTGTGAAACAAAAGTATGAAGCGATGGGAGGGTTGAACCCAGCACTGGCCAAAACTCCGGCTTACTCTGTTAATCTTGGTCAAAAGCTGTAAGCCACCATCTGGTACTAACAATGGAAGTTGAGTTTGGGCAGAAAAGTTCGAATAAATATAGTTTGTAAACAATCCCAAACTCAAACCACTAACATAGGGTAGGCTCCAGCTAATGTTGTGTGTTGAACAAACACGAGATCGAAGTATCTTCACTTCTTGTACTCAAAACTCTCGAAAACTCCAATTAAGTTAGTTTGAAACACCAATTAAAAGCTAACTAGACATCATTGTTGAACCTCACACACTTAGCATCGCAACAATAAGCCAAACCAGTACTGCATAGCAAAAGTGTGTAGTCCAGTATGGACTGCATCCCTATTGTTGTTTTAAAGAATGAATGCTGTGTCAGTATTTCCTCCAAGTTATGTTATCATATTAAAGGTAGGGGGAAAAAGACAAATGAATACTTGGATACGGATGTAGAATAAGGGCTATTACTGGTCTGCAAATGTTATGGAAATGAATCCTTGTGGCAATTGTGTCACCTGACCAGAGGTGATTCCCAGTACGCAGGTGCAACCAACCAAGAAAGGATGGTGGCTTTGTATTTTGTTCCCATTTGATGTTGAAGCATGGTAGGGCAATTAATGGTTTGTCTTTTTTTTTTTTTTATATATATGGACCCGGTTTCTATGCGACCAAGCCTGCATATGTAGAAATGCGGGCTTCTTAATAAATCCCTTTTTGAGATGGATTTTAATACTTAATTTTTAAGGACATGTTATCTCTAACATGAAGATCATGAATATGAAAAAATAAATTTTGAAAACTAGAAATAACAATTCTAATAAGAAAACATTTGGACTGTTAGTTTCCATTGTTTTTAGATAGAACACCTACTTGCATCCATTTGGACTGCATATGTAGAAATACGGTCCAGTCCGCATGAAACAATTTTCCTTTATATATATATATATATATACAATAGGTGATGTTGATTCAGGATGTTTTTGTTAAGAAATTTATATGAAATTAAGTGGGTAATTTGACTTGTTCTTTTTTTGCAGATTCTGTCAAGAAGTTATTCTTAAAGTGAAATGTGATATTGGGTATCCTGTATCTTAAGAGAAACAAAGCATATTACATTTCACAGAGAGGATATGGAATCAGATGCTTGTTGCTGCTATTTATTGTAAGTGGCAAAATTTTAGAAATGTGGGACCTAAGCTTACAACTGATATTGGTCCACCAAACCTTGTTTGTAAACTCAGCATTTATAGTTTTGTTAGAACCGGATAGATGGATGGATGATTAGTGATGCTGGACGCAGACGCAGATGCAGAGACAGGGCATTAAAGAGGTTGTTGAAGATGCGCACATCATATGCTTGGAGAAAAAGCATAGGTGCTCAAGGTGGTAGGTGCCATAACACGAAGTCTGTTTCTTGTACTTATCGTGGATAAGGGGCCCTTTCCTTGCTGAACTACCAAAAAAAAATAAATTGTATTAACTACCCAAAAAAAGAAGTGCTTGAAAAAGTTGTACCAGATTTGCTTCCCCCCCCTCCTCCTCTCTCTCTCTCTCTCTCTCTCTCTCTCTCTCTCTCTCTCTCTCTCTCTCTTCTTCTTCTTCTTACTTTACGTTTACGTTTACTTTACGTTTACTTTACTTTCTTTACGTTA